GCATCTCTGTGCAAAGTTTCATGTCTCTACGACATACGGGGCATGAGATATGCCCATTCAAAGTTTGCAATTTCAATCGGTTGCTATAGCGCCCCCCTTTGGCCAATTGATGTAATATTGCTTCATTCGCATCCTCCCATGACCCTCTACCACTGTGCCAAATTTCACATGGATTGACCAAGTCAGTGAGGAGAAAAACGTGGAACAGACACACAGACACACACAGACAGAGTTTTCGTCATTATATTATTCTACTAGTGCCACTATTACTGGTACTGCTATTGTTCTTCAAATAGGTTAGTCGTCCTCTTCCTTTAATGACAAATATACAGCCAATCAGGGTAGCTGGGGCCACTGCACTAAAGCTATCACTACTAATGCTGTTAGTGCTAAGCATCTCCTGTTATTGCTGAGACTACTATCCTACTTTGACGACTTCCACTGCTCTTACTGCTGCTACCACTACTAATACTATATTGTTACAAGTCCTAATATTTCTAATACTACTGCCATTGCTTCTAATATTACTACATACTACTACTGCTACTACTATGCTGCTGCTATACCACTACCACTAAATCCACAATTGCCTTTATTACAGCTACTGCTACTTATTTAGTATAGAACAGTAATAGTGCTTCTACTATAGCGTACTGCTACCACACAATTACTCTACAACCAGGCTACTATTTACTCCTACTACTAGCCTTTGAGTATTGCTGCTAAAATACATACAAAGTGAGCATGTTATGTTGGTGAATTATGAACACTAACAGTTTAAATAACCAAATGAAAGCCCAGCCTTCAGTACTTACAGTACTGGTTGGAGATGCGGTAGGGTACGTAGACGTTGCCATCGGTGGCTTTAGGCCACAGGCAGCCTCGTGCTGTGCAGGGATCGGCGTTCTGGAAACCGTCTGGCACTGCTATGTCTCCATACATCACCAGAGGATCGTCAAAGTTCTTTCCTGCAAAATGACACGAAGATACTCAAGTTTTCTTTTTTTTCCTGGCACTGCATTTCATATTGTTGATCTTGCTGTGTTACAGGCAGGTCAAATCTGGGTCTGATACATCCTCTCCTTCCTCACTGATGGTTCTGTTAGCATCTGCTGTATACTTCCAGGTATGAAGTGTAACACCAGCTTTGTATTTTTGTCCTACATTTAAGTTTATATTATCATAACTGTACATTTCCTGCTGAATGATAAGTTGCCATGGAGATGAACATACCAACATTAACATTGGCCTTCTCTAACAGTGTGGAGATACCGAGATCCTCATCCTCATTGTTGTTGCCTTTGGAACAGAAACAATTTGTTCATGTGTCAGTTACATGATGTACGACTATATATTTACAGGATTTTACAGTCTGAAAAGCAGCCATGTCTCACCAGACGACTCGTCACCCTTTTCAGAAGAGTCCTGTAATACGACACAGAGTAAAAATTAAATTTGAGGCTGTAAAATTTCAGATTGTATCACATTTCATTACAAATTGTGGCACTGAAAAATGCATGTATTCATCCAATTAGTGTCAGCTAATGTAAAGTGTGTGCTGATGCTTACCTGTATGGTAAAACTGTGCACGGAGCAGAGGAAGACACCGAGCACAGCAGCCTGGAGGATCATGGCTGGTTATCAGATGGCAGCAGCAGACTGAGACAAAGCCTGGGGAAACGGACGTGTTACACCTTATATAGGTGGCAGTCCCAAATCACTGTCATCCTATAAGGCATGCTGGTCACTAAACGTTGACAAATTCAGCTCAGCTGGAACTGGCAGTTATTGCTTAAAGCGGATTGTGTAAGATGTGGGCTTTGTTTTGTTCTTTTCCTTCCTGTTTGCCCCTGGACAGGAGCAGCTCACACATTTATCTGCTTTGGGGCTCAAACATGTATTACTCTCAAGGTGATACTACTGTCTTTAGGAGGCTGCACCTTTTAAAGCTAGTGCAAAGGCAGTGATATCTTAGGAAACGAAACAATCTGAGGCACGTATTGGTACCAACCATGTCAGCATAGCTTGCCATGAAGGGGGCTAAATAACACTCCAAAGTTGCAAGGGAACAACTGGCATAGCCATTTTCAATAGAGTCCCTTCAACTCTCACCTCAAGATATCTCAATGAAAATGGGTTCTGTGGTTACCTACAAATCTCCGCTAAACTTGAGTAGGCTTGTTCCCTTTCAATGTTTTGTTCCTTAAAATCAATGTACTCAAATTAAAGCAGTATATTTGTCTATTTAAGGACAATCAGCCTATCTGAAGAACAATTAATCATTTAACACCTGCATATACAGATACACATTAGAAAAGGATTGTCGTGGAACTCAAAATGTTAACTGTACCAGTATTAGTCTATGCACATCAGATAATTAGTAACATTAACTGTTCTTTCTTTTAGCGAGATTTATACTTGTGCATCAGCTCTATGGAGAGCCTATGCCATTGTGAGCATTTATACTTGTGCGCTGGTGTGTCTGTGTCATTCTGCAGTTAGACCTCCAAAACACTAGTTGGTGGCTGTTAAATGCTCTCTAGTTTAGTTGATTCAAAACACACACTAAGCATGGCTTAATAGAGACAGTTTCAAACACAAGTACACAAATCAGCTTCACTATAACTCGCAGCATTCACAGACAAAGTGTTTGTCTGTTGCTGGACACATTTTCTCCACAAATACAACATGCTAATGCTTTTAGCACAAGTATAAATTAGCCTAGCTGCTAGCTGACTATTCCTCTACTCATATGAAGCCAGGGACAACAGCAACATTTAACAATGGTAAGGTTACAAAATTCAGCTCCATTACAACTCACGAGGTTCACTGACAAAACAAGTGTCTTATACTAAACACGTTTTCCAAACAAATATAACATGCTAACGTTATTAGCACAAAAGTATGGCATTTTTACACTGTATAAACTAGCCTAGCAACTAGCAAAGATTTACTCTACTCAAATGAAGTCAGTATAAATCACACACGAGACTTAAAGTGTTATTTTTGTGGAGGCTTTATTGTCTTCACAATTTATTATTTCTTATTTGTGAAATTAAAGTAAGTAAAAGCTTTGTAAAAAAGAAAAAAGGAGGTTTGTGTTGCTGCAACATGTAGTTACATTTCTAGGTAGGTGGATGTCAGGCAAGTTTTTATTACTTTTTTTAAGGAAAGGTTTTATATCTCGTATCATCCATAAAACACTAGAAATACTCCACATATTTTGTGCATCATTTTATACACACTTCCCCAAAATTCAACTAAACATGTACTGTATTTGTTTGTACCACATGCTCTCCTCTTTAATTATGAAAAAACCTTAAAACTTTATTTAAAGATGTAATGGTAGTGTTGGAGTCATGGGTATGGAGCTACATTAGGGTCAAATGTTTTGTACTTGAAAAAATAAAATTTGAAACTGAAAATTCATGTGTTGATCTTGAATGAAACGTTTTTTCAGGTTAAATATAATTTTGATTCACTTTGGTAATTCTTTTGAATGAATAATTTATTTTCACTTTTCACTTCCATATATATTTTAACATTTGAGGTCTTATTTTTTTCAGATGCATGTTTTATCTTTTCAGATTCCGATCTTATTTTTTACAGTTTCAAATCTTATTTTTTCACTTTCAAATCTTTTTTTCACTTTCAGATCTTTTTTTTTCAGTTTTAAATCTGTTTTTTGAGTTTCAGACTTTTGACCCTGATGAGGCGTGGGGGGCGTGGCATCAACTGAGAGGGGTGTGGAATCATGAGTGACAATGCCTTCAGGGAACGTATGAACTAAAAAAAATTCTGACTCAACACTTACATACACCATATTCATGTGACTGGCAGTGTAAAAATTGATGCCAGTGACAAACGTCCATTTAGAAATCTGTTTTAGTACTGAGCACCAATTGCGGTGTAAGAGCCATAAATTATGCCAGATTTTGCAGATCAACAGCCACATTTTAAGTGCTGATATGTCCGATTTCCACATAGCACTGTGAACGCAGCATAGTGTCTGTTTTGCTTGCGATGATGGCGTCAGGTCGGTCGGGTCAATCTGCTGGAGCCCATACATCCAGCACACAGGTGAGAAATGTTAAGTAAGCTTAACTAAACTTTGGGAAAAATGTTAACTAAGCTTTGGAAAATCAGATCAACACATGAATTTTCAGTTTCAAATTTTATTTTTTCAAGTACAAAACATTTGACCCTAATGTAGCTCCATACATGGGAGGGTCTCGCAGAACTGAAAAGACTGTGGAAGTTCAGTATAAAATAAGCATGATAGAAAGCTCATAATGCTTCAAATCAACACACATTTTGATAAAGAAAGTACTTGTGCATGGAAAAGAAAGGCCCCAGTGTTTTTATTTATAGTGCACACCTCTAAACTGCATTGTGCTGCAGAAATTTGCAGCTGAATCTTGGATCCTCTGTGTGAACTTGTGCAGCTGAGGTTTCACTCCAGGATTTTATTTTTGTTCACTGCATCAGTGAGCCCAAATATGGATTACAAAATAGGGCTGCCACTCACGATTATTTTCATTATTGACTAATCTGTCGATTATTTCTTCGATTAGTCGACTAATCATTTCATCGAAAAATGTGTTAAAATGTTGAAAAATGTCGGTCTGTCTCACCCAAATCCCAAAATTACGTCATCTAATGTCTTGTTTCGTACTCACGCCAAAGGGTTTTAGTTCACTGTCACGGGAGAGTGTGTAAAGCTGCCAATATCTGAATGTAAGAAGCTGCAGTAAGAGTATTTTGGGGTACTTTTATAGTACTTTTCTATAAAAAATGACTCAAACCGATTAGTCGACTACTAAAATAGTCACCGATTATTTTAATAGTCGATTAGTCATCAATTAGTCGACTAATCGTGCCCTATTACAAAAAGGTGCACAAACACATGGACACCCAGACAATGAATGCTAGGTGCTGGACAAGAGGTCATGCAAAAGTCAGAAAAACAGAGTCCACACACTAGACTATGCTCCCATAAATACTTAATTGAAATAAAGACAGGTCTGATGGAGAGTGTGAAGCTTGAAACATCACTTCAGTGGTTATTTGTTTTCTCAAATATGGATTACCTGGGTACAAAGAAAGCCAAAGAATCAGGTGAACTCACAGGCTTATCAGTCACTTAGGGCTCATGCATTTTAGAGATCTCTATACCCACACTATATGGTGGGAAGTGGACACTTGTAACAAAGTGAGTTGTCAGCATCTGATGATATGTATGAGAATTTTCCACACCATGGTAGAGTCTGCAAATACTGTAGGTAAAGAACCAGTGTTTGTTCCTTGCAAAGGGAATCATGCAGCATGGAAGATTAACTATCTTTAGAGAGTATGGGAGACAAACACAATCAACGCTAGATAAAAAAATAATTAAAAAGATAAGCAGGAGGAAGTTGGTAAGGCAAGATATGGTATAAGACAGAAAGGAGGACAAGGCAGTCAGGAAGCATGAGGGATATTGCTTTTATAAGGTTCAAAAGAAGATTTTTGGCAGTGGTAATTAACTGTACTGCTGTAAGAGAAAGACAATTTGAGAAATCCATATAATCGTAGATGCAGCAAAGAGATTTCTGGATGTTGTGGGGGTTCTGAGGAAGATGTACAGCAGCTTTTGAGAGAGGCTGTCTCAAACACGCAGAAAACAGGAACTTGATAACAGAATGGGAAATAGATGGGAGGAGATCATCAGAATTATTTTACAAAGATTGTGAAGATTGTTGTTTAATTCCAGTCGATGGAGGTAATGCGACAAATAAAACATATGGCCTGATGATAGTGCTAGATGAGAAGTCTGGGAATCACCATACATAAATGTCTGTATCAAATTTCATGGTAATCCATCCCATAGTTGTTGAGACATTTCACTAAAAATCACAAATGTGTACCCTGCTGGTGGAGCTGGGGATCCTGAGGTGCCAAAGTGCATAAAAAGCGTGAAAATAGAGCTTGTTTATCAATTACTGCATTTAATGCAATAACATTAATATTTAGATCGCCTACTGCTATTTTTTTTTTATAAATCTGTTTAGTGTAAACAGGTCAGCAAAAGGCAGAAAGACCAGCAGCATGAGTGAATAAGAACAATACAAATGACTAAATAAATAAAATTAAATCAAAGGTTAATAAAGAGGAATGAGTTGAATGGTGCAAAAACACAACCTGCAAGACTTAGGCGTGCAGGAAGAAGAAACCACAACAAGTAGTCTGAAAGGATTTTGGAGATCCTTTCAATAAGAATCGTAGTTTTTCTAACTGAAGGCATCGCAAGACACCACGCATCCATTGGTCATGCGTTGGGGGGAAGGCATGTTTCCATTTGAGAAGGATACAGCGTCTGATTCAGATTCAGATTCACTTTGTCATTTCCCTCAGTATTTACATACAAAAAGAAACAAAATACTGTTTCTCATCAGCTACACAGTGCATTAAAAAGACTAGTAATAAATAAGTTAAAAGGACTAAAAAACAACCTGGCTAGTAAAGTGATAAAGGAAATGACACGGCATATAGTAGTGAGCATATTCTCAGCCGGGGGAAGGCCCAATAAGGCAAACAAAGGATTAGGGTCTATTTTTGTGTTAAAAGCCTGATCAATGGTTCCAAATACATCAGACCAAAATTTGTTCAACCTTGGTGTGGTAGATGGTCAGATGGTCAGCTGGGGATTGA